CCCCCCCCCCCCCCCAAGAATCGCCTCCAGGCGACCTGAGGTGCTTTTAGGGGTGTGCTCTGAAGAACGTGGTGAGCAGATTTGGGTCTAAAATGAACGAGCGGGGAATCTAGGATCTGTCCTCGGGACCGTATCCCTCCCAGTCCACAAGATACTGGAAACCCCTGCCTCGACGTCTGACGTCCAAAATGGTGCGAACCATGAAGGCGGGATGGTTGTCGATCAGTTGGGCGGGTGGAGGGAGGTCGGTAGGCAGGCACAGAGGACTCTCGGAGACCGGCTTCACCTGATAGATGTGGAATGTGGGATGGATCCTCATTGAGCTGGGGAGTTGAAGGCGGACTACTGTGGGGTTGATTATTCTTGTGATGGTGAAAGGGCTAATGAATCGTGGAGCCATCTTTCTTGGAATGTCCTTCAGTTGAATGTCTCTTGTTGAAAGCCAAACCTTTTGGCCCACCTGGTAAGACGGGGCAGAGGAACGGTGTCGGTCGGTGTACCTCTTGTTCTGAGCTGCGGTGCGTAGAAGGGCTGCTCTCGTTTGCAGCCAAACGCGTCGACATCGACGGAAGTGGTGCTGGACAGATGGCACCGTGATGTCCGTCTCAAGACTAGGAAATAAAGGAGGAAGGTATCCCAGAGAGGCTTCGAACGGGGACATACCTGTGGCTGTGGATCTGTGTGCGTTGTGGGCATACTCCACCCACACCAGATGTTGAGACCAGGCTGAGGGATTGCTCTCCACGACACAACGAAGGGTGTTCTCAAGTTCCTGGTTACACTTCTCAGCCTGGCCGTTAGACTGTGGGTAGTAACCTGAAGTCAGACTTGCAGATGCCCCTAGGGTTTTACAAAATGAGCGCCAGATCTGGGAAATAAACTGTGGTCCACGGTCAGAAACAACGTCGGAGGGGATACCGTGGATTCGGAAAACATGCTGGATTAATAATTGTGTCGTCTCGAGAGCAGAAGGTAACTTGACTAAGGGAATGAAATGAGCCGACTTAGAGAATCGGTCAATGACAGTCAAGATGACCGTGTTACCTTCGGACGGGGGAAGTCTAGCGACAAAGTCCACCAATATGTGGGACCAAGGGCCGCTGGGTGAGGGTAGTGGTTGTAGGAGTCCGGCCGGGGGTTGATTTCCTGTCTTATTGCGGGTGCAAGTGGCAAAGGCAGCAACAAAGTCCTTAACGTCCTGGGTCAATGTCGGCCACCAGAAGTGGGACTTAGTTAGGGACAACATGCGGGTAACTCCTGGGTGACAAGAAAGTTTGTTAGTGTGAACCCACTCCAGTACCTTAGCCCTCATGACAGAGGGGACAAACAGGGTTCCGGGGGGTCCCAGGCCGGCATCGGGCTCCTCCTTTTGGGTATCGTGGACCTCCTGCTCAATGGGCCATGTGAGAGCCCCCATGATACATGTTAAGGGAACGATACGTTCCTCGAGTTCAGGACCATCTGGGGGAGAGAATTGTCGGGACAGGGCATCCGGCTTGACATTCTTAGAACCAGGCCTATAAGTCAATATATAATGGAACCGATTAAAGAATAAAGACCACCGTGCCTGTCTGGGGGTTAATCTTTTAGCGTCCCTGAGATAGGTCAAGTTTTTGTGGTCGGTCCATATGAGGAAGGGGATCTCTGTACCCTCCAACCAATGACGCCACTCTTCTAAAGCCAGTTTGACGGCTAGTAATTCACGATTTCCCACATCGTAATTACGCTCGGCTTGGGACAAACGCAGAGAAAAGAAAGCACAGGGGTGTACCTTATTGTCTTTGGGGGATCTCTGAGAAAGAACGGCACCTACCCCAGTATCGGAGGCGTCCACCTCCAGGATGAACTGGCCTTCTGGATCAGGATGGCAGAGGATGGGTGAGGTTGAGAAGAGTTGTTTCAATTTTTTGAAGGCAGTGTCTGCTTCTGTAGTCCATCTGAATGTTCTGTTAACTGAGGTAAGTTGGGAGAGTGGTGCGGCAATACGGCTGTAGTCTCTAATGAAGCGTCTGTAGAAGTTTGCAAAACCAAGAAAGCGTTGAAGCTGTTTACGGGTCTCAGGAATGGGCCATTCTACTACAGCTTTGATTTTTTCAGGGTCGGTACGATAATGTCCTTCCCCGAATATAAACCCCAGAAAGGAAACGGATGAAGTATGAAACTCACACTTTTCACCTTTGACAAATAATTGATTCTCATATAGTCGCTGAAGAACTTTTCTGACCCTCTTGATGTGTTCCTCCTTGTCATGTGAGTAGATTAGGATATCATCAAGATATACAAAAACGAACTCCCCTAAAAAGTCTCTGAGTACGTCATTGACTAACGCCTGGAAGACTGCAGGAGCGTTAGTGAGACCAAATGGCATAACTAAATATTCGAAATGACCCAAAGGGGTCGGGAAGGCCGTCTTCCATTCGTCACCCTCCTTAATACGAACCAAATGATATGCGTTACGCAAATCTAACTTTGTAAAAATGGTGGCCGATTGTAATTGTTCATGTATGGAGTCAATAAGCGGAAGAGGATATTTGTTTTTTACCGTAATGTTATTTAAACCCCAGTAATCGATACAAGGATGGAGGGTCTTATCTTTTTTGGATACAAAGAAGAACCCGGCCCCCACCGGGGAGGTGGATGGACGAATAATACCGGAGTCAAGTGACTCCTCAATGTACTCCTTCATGGAGTCCCTCTCGGGTCCGGAGAGGTTGAACAAACGACTAGCTGGTAAGGGAGCCCCCGGAAAAAGATCTATAGCACAGTCGTATGGTCGATGTGGCGGCAAGGACAAGGCTCTCTGTTTACTAAAAACAGGAGAGAGATTGTGATACTCAGGCGGAATGGAAGTTAAGTCAATTTGTTCTATATTGGTGTCTTGTTTGGTTGCATTAGAGATTCCAGAGCGGAGACAGTGTTTTAGACACCTTCCTCTCCGTTTCTCTATTCTGCCAAGTTCCCAATTAATGTGAGGGTTGTGGAGTTTTAACCAGGGGTATCCTAAGATTACTTGGTCATGGGGTGAATCGAAAACAAAGAAACTGACGTGTTCGTGGTGATTGCCGGATGTAATTAAGTGTAAGTCAGTGGTGCGGTGTTGGACCTGGGATAGTGTATCGCCTGTGATACCTGTGATGGAAACGGTGGGTATTTTTACAGTGGGTAGTGACAATTCGGATACCAGACTTTGACTAATTAAATTCTTTTCAGCGCCGGAGTCTATGAGTGCAGAAACGGGGAAGCGGTTGTGATTATATTCAATGACCGTAGCAATGGTCAGTCTACTTAATGGGGAAAGCAAAGAAGTCCCCACCAATATCTCCCTCTTTATTGGTGGGTGTTCTCGTTTCCTTGAATCGGACAGTCGGCAACAAGATGCCTATTTTGGCCACAATAGAAACATAACCCTTGTTCTCTGCGTTTTTGTCTAACGTCGGGAGTAAGATGGGTGCGTCCCACCTGCATGGGCTCTGACTCAGGTAAAGAGAGTGAAGGGGGTGACGCGTGGGTAAAAAGATTTTGGAATTTGGAGTACGAAGGTGACTCTTTACCACGGACAACACTGAGTGACGGACCCGAACCGGAAGTGGTGGTACGTTGGGAGTTGTAGTCCCATTCCCGCTGTCGCTCGCGGAAACGCTCATCGATTGAAATGGCCAGATTAATGAGAGCGTCAAAGTTGGACGGCTTGTCCCTAGTGGCAATCTGGTCCTTTAACGGATCCGATAAGGAATTTAGAAAAGTTCCCTGTAGTGCTCTCTCGTTCCATCCGGTTTGTGCGACAAGGATGCGGAACTCGAGGGCGTGTTTGGCTACTGGTCGCCGGCCCTGACGTAAGCCCAGGAGATGTTTCTCTGCATTGGGACCCGATAGTGGTCTGTCGAATATCCTGCGAAACTCGGTAAGTACACTACTAAAAGAAATAACTTTTAAATCATGCTGGCGGAGAAAAGAAGTTGCCCACCTGAGTGCGTTACCCTTTAACTGGCTCGTAAAGTAGGTGATCTTAGCGTTTTCTGAGGAATAGAGCCTGGGGGCTCCGCTGAATGCGAGCTCACATTGGAGGAGAAAGCCGTCACATTGTTCTGGGTCACCGTAAAAAAGTTCTGACGGTTTTACCAGTAATTGTGGCTCCGATGAGTGTCTCGCCGAGCATGTGCACGTGTGACTGTTCTCAGGGGTTTCTGCTGCGACTGTAGGAGGAGAAGGAGAGAGAGTCTGTTTAATTGAACAAACCATACCCCCTAGCTCCTGTAGATTTGCTTGAGTTTGTTGTTGTTGCTGGATCATTTGGGAGAGGATCTTCTCAAGCTGGTTTACTCGCTCTGTTTGCGACGAGGATGTGGCTTGGTCGTTCCGAGCCTCGTTCTGGGTTTGGTCTGGCTGGAGCATTTCTGTTGTATGTGCGGGCAACCCAGTTGTAACGAGACCCAGAACGACACAAGACTCAGGCTACGAAAAGTGATGTTTATTTACAGTGATAGAAAATATATACAATATATACAGGGCCCTGGGACTGGAACTCCTGGAAGAGGGGAAATAGTTTTTTCAGGTCGTGAGCAGGTAAGTGACACAGGAGAAAAGGATTTGATATTTGTTGTTTCT